GGTTCAATTCCAGGCAAGGGCAGGTATCTCAGTTGCAGGCTTGATCCCTTGTCCCAGTCGGGGTGTGTGTTTAAGGCAACCAGATATGTCTCTCACACATCAATGTTTCTTTCCCCCTCCCTTCCACTCTCTCTAAAACATCAATAGAAAACATATCCTTGGGTGATGATTAACAACAACAACAAAAAAGCCTAGAAGTATATTCATCAAAATGTTAACTTATCTCTGGGTAGTATGAGTACAATTGACTTGATTTTTAATAATTTTTTGTACCATGAGCACTTTACTTTTCTATCACAAAAAGAAATAAAAGATGTTTTTTTCCTTAAAGGGAATAGTATTTCCTGAAAGAAGCAGCATTGTTTCACAAGTCTTAGATTCTAAAGCTTTTATAGCAAATGATATGAATACTATGTACATAAATACATTACTATAGAATTCAAAAGCAGAAAATATAAAACATTTCATTTGGCTCTTAATTAGCTAAGAGAGAAATCAACACAAACTTTTCTTAGTTTAGATCAGTGGTTCTCAACCTTCCTAATGCCTCGACCCTTTAATACAGTTCCACATGTTGTGGTGACCCCCAACCATAAAATTATTTTCATTGCTACTTCATAGCTGTAATTTTGCTACTGTTATGAATCGTCATGTAATTATCTGATATGCAGGATGTATTTTCATTGTTACAAATTGAACATAATTAAAGCATAGTGACTAATCACAAAAACAGTATGTAGTTATATATGTGTTTTCCGATGGTCTCAGGCAACCCCTGTGAAAGGGTCGTTCAACCCCCAAAGCGGTCGCAACCCTCAGGTTGAGAACCGCTGGTTTAGATGACTATGAATCAGAAGCAAATCCTTCTTAGAAGTTATAGCTCAGGCATTTCCAACTTGTGCTCCCTTTTCAGGTGTAGAGCAGGTTCAGTTCCATTCAGTGCAGTGAATGAGTCAGCCACCAGCTAAAATCCATTTCCCTTTCAGCTCATTCTTGCCTCTAAAACAGGCTGTCCAATAGAGCTTTTGGCAGCAGTGATGAAATAGACGACATGTGCTCTCCAGTGAGGTAGCCCCTAGTCACGTGCAGCTTTTGTGCTCTGGCAACGTGACATGTGTAAGCCACCTGTGCCTAGTGGCTACTTTATTGAACAGCACAGATAAGAATACTTACAGTATGACCAATAACCCAGCACTTTAGAAGACTAAAATTATGAACCCTAAATTAAGCTGAATAAATGGTTCCTCTGTAATTCAGAGATATCAAATTTAAAACACCCAATGTTTGTATGTGCTCTCTTTACAGTAATTTTGCCCTCTGGGGAACCCAATAAGATAATCACTGTGGCCAAAACCGGTTTGGCTCAGTGGATAGAGCGTCGGCCTGTGGACTGAAAGGTCCCAGGTTCGATTCCGGTCAAGGGCATGTACCTGGGTTGCGCGGGCATCCCCAGTGGGGATGTACAGGAGGCAGCTGATCGATGTTTCTCTCTCATCGATGTTTCTGGCTCTCTGTCTCTCTCCCTTCCTCTCTGTAAAAAATCAATAAAATATATTAAAAAAAAAAAAAAAGATAATCACTGTGTTTGGTCATGTGAACAATGTTTCTGGTACCAGAAAATCTTTCTGACTAGATAATAACTATTTAGTCATCAGTATTAATAATCAATGGGTCATGTCCGATTTCATAGTTAGATGAACCCTGTTGCTGTCCAGTTTCCTGTGATTAACAATTACATTGCCCTTTAGGTCATTAAAGGTCTCTCCTCAGAGCTGGTGACCTGGTATATTCACCATGGCAGATGAGCATTTCTATGAATTTGTCCCTTTGGGGATGTAGAGTAGATGAGTGCAATTCAGTGCAGTGAGTAGTGAGCCATCATCTACAATACATTTCCCTTTCTGCTCATCCTGGATAGAAAAGGCCTAGAATACACACCCAGCTGTTGACAGTTGTCATCACCAGGGGCAAAAAGCAGTTTGGAGGGTGAGAAAGTAAAAAAAAAGGGGGGGAGGAGGGATACCTTTTTACATTGTTATTCAAATCTTTATTTAACCAAGAACATACTCATATTCTCATACTCAGATTTTTTTTAAAAAGTTTTAAACAAATGCCAGATCAGCTTTTCTCAAAATGCTGAAATACATTCCTCACTATATTACATGGGGGTGCTTAAAAATAAAACATGTCGGAGAGAACCAAGATGGCGACATAGGTTAACGCCGGAGTTTGCTGCCTTGAACAACTACTTCAAAAGGGAAACTAAAAAACGGAACGGACATCACCCAGAACCACAGGAACGCTGGCTGAGTGGAAGTCCTACAACTAGGAGGAAAGAGAAACGCATACGGACACTCAGAGGAGGCGCAGTGCTGAAGTCAAATTCTGAGGTGCGGAGTGTGCGGAGCGGGCTGGCGGCGGAGGGCGCGCTTGGCGTTTTCAATCGGGAGGGAGTCGCAGACTCTGAGCTCCAGATACAGGCGAGTCTTTAGGGACCCAGACTCAAACGAGAGAAGCGGTACTGTCTGGCTTTGGTCAGAGCGAGTGCAGCTTTCTCTCCGAGGTTTGCAGCGGGTGCTGGGACTCAGAGAGGCAGAGCCCCTGGGGACAGGACTGAGAGCCGCCATAACTGCTCTCTCCGGCCCACCCTGTTGATCCTGTGCGACCCGCCCCCGCCCAAGCCCTGCACAGAGGCATTTGCCGGACAGCCTCAGGCAAAGGCTAGATTAGCACCTCCCTAGAGGACAGAAGTTCTCTCACTGCAGACACAGCTGATTCTCATAGCCACTTGGCCTGGAGGTCAAACCCTCCCTGGTATTAGCTACAACAATCAAGGTTTAACTATAAGACTGCGCACAAAGACCACTAGGGGGTGCACCAAGGAAGCATAACAAAATGCAGAGACAAACAGGACAAAATTGTCAATGGAAGATATAGAGTTCAGAACCACACTTTTAAGGTCTCTCAAGAACTGTTTAGAAGCCGCCGATAAACTTAATGAGATCTACAAGAAAACTAATGAGATCCTCAATGTTATATTGGGGAACCAACTAGAAATTAAGCATACACGGACTGAAATAACGAATATTATACAGACTTCCGACAGCAGACCAGAGGAGCGCAAGAATCAAGTCAATGATTTGAAATGCAAGGAAGCAAAAAACACCCAACCGGAAAAGCAAAATGAAAAAAGAATCCAAAAATGCAAGGATAGTGTAAGGAGCCTCTGGGACAGCTTCAAGCGTACCAACATCAGAATTATAGGGGTGCCAGAAGATGAGAGAGAGCAAGATATTGAAAACCTATTTGAAGAAATAATGACAGAAAACTTCCCCCACCTGGTGAGAGAAATGGACTTACAGGTCCAAGAAGCGCGGAGAACCCCAAACAAAAGGAATCCAAAGAGGACCACACCAAGACACATCATAATTAAAATGCCAAGAGCATAAGATAAAGAGAGAATCTTAAAAACAGCAAGAGAAAGAAACTCAGTTACCTACAAGGGAATACCCATACGACTGTCAGCTGATTTCTCAACAGAAACTTTGCAGGCCAGAAGGGAGTGGCAAGAAATATTCAAAGTGATGAATACCAAGAACCTACAACCAAGATTACTTTATCCAGCAAAGCTATCATTCAGAATTGAAGGTCAGATAAAGAGCTTCACAGATAAGGAAAAGCTAAAGGAGTTCATCACCACCAAACCAGGATTATATGAAATGCTGAAAGGTATCTTTTAAGAAGAGGAAGAAGAAGGAAAAGGTAAAGATACAAATTATGAACAACAAATATGCATCTATCAACAAGTGAATCTAAGAATCAAGTGAATAAATAATCTGATGAACAGAATGAACTGGTGATTATAATAGAATCAGGGACATAGAAAGGGAATGGACTGACTATTCTTGGAGGGGCAAGGGGTGTGGGAGATTTGGGAAGAGACTGGACAAAAATCGTGCACCTATGGATGAGGACAGTGGGTGGGGAGTGAGGGCGGAGGGTGGGGCGGGAACTGGGAGGAGGGGCGTTATGGGGGGGAAAAAAGAGGAACAAATGTAATAATCTGAACAATAAAGATTTAATTAAAAAAAATAAAAAATAAAAATAAAACATGTCGAAGGGATGATGAAAGGTGAATAACCTCCAACTACTGTTTGGGAAAAAGAATGGCCAACAATCTGGGTCCTTTACATGAAAACGACACAGGCATCTCAGCCTTCAAATACGACATCTTTACCTTCTGCAAATAAATCCCACCCACTCCTAGGAGAGCCACTAGCCAGTGAAGGAGGAGAATGTCATCACAGATGACAGTCCAGAGCCAGGTGCACAGTATGCACTGGGAAGCCAGTTCCAGGTTCCTTGGCGTCCTAGATAAGCCATTAGAATCTGAAGCTAGTTGTCCAGAGAATTCCATCCTCTCCTATGAGGTATTTCTACATCCCTGGTGCACCCACAGAAATGTTTATTCCCATACTCCCAGGATACTCAACCTTCAGTATTTGGGGGATATGGCATTGTTAGACCAGTAGGGGAGAAGAGTATGGGCTTTCAAGTCATTACCAATCTGTAAACTGTGCTCCCTCTTAGACAAGTTACTTGATTTTTTTTTTAAATATATTTTATTGATTTTTTACAGAGAGGAAGGGAGAGAGATAGAGAGTTAGAAACATCGATGAGAGAGAAACATCGATCAGCTGCCTCCTGCACATCTCCTACTGGAGATATGCCCGCAACCCAGGTACATGCCCTTGACCGGAATCGAACCTGGGACCTTTCAGTCCGCAGGCCGACGCTCTATCCACTGAGCCAAACCGGTTTTGGCTGATTTTTTTTTTTTTACTTGATTTTTTTTAAAAGAGTTTCCATGTCCTCCTCTCCAGGGTGCAGAGTAATAGCCACCTTTTGGGGTTCTTAAAAAGGTTAGCAATAATGTATATAAAGCACCTCAGTGATCTGTCTGCTGGAACAGTGATTGAAAATGACTATGAGTAGTCTGGCACAGGTATGAAAAGTTTTTATTATCAGCATAGTACAGTGTTCTTGGTTCTAGCAAGCCATCTCTATAATATATCCTCGAAGAACAAGTCTCTTTTAGAGGATACATGCATGCACACCATATGCCTGGGAAAGACCAAATTTCTAGTCCTCACTTCCCTTTTCTCTTCCTCTTCCCTCCCCTTGTATTTAGAAGCCCCTTCCTTAAAACCTAAACCCTTTTGTTGGAAGTCCTTGCAACTGATCACTTCACTGGTGTTTTTCCTTCTTTGAAAATTTGCTGGGGCTTCTCTGTTTCTTCATAGAGTTCTCCAGTTTTTCCCCAGATGGCTCTTTTTATTAATTGGCTTCTATTAGGGCAGGTCAGTTTGCTGGAGATAGGAAAATGTTGAAAAGCACAGCAAATAAGACGCAAGCTAAATAAGCTGCAATTGATATCCAAAACCGTGGATCTTTCAGCAGTGTCTTATCAAAGCAGCTAAACACGGTGTAACCTATGGACATTCCAGCAAATCCACCTGCAATGTGAGCTGCAAAAGACACCTTGGGAGAAAAGGAGGAAAATGGAAATAAGTGAAACAATGCTAATTACATAATTCAGTTACATCTCTCTTACTAAACAATAAAGACCATCCCAGTCACATAAGACTCTTAAAAGTCTGAAGAACAAGGAGCTCAGGCAAGAGACACAGAGAGGAGATGTTCTGTATGCAAAGCTAAGAAGTGTCATTTCACTCTCTGAGTGCACAAGGCAGAGTAACTGTTTCTCCGTCTACTTGACCATCATCCCATTTTGGATGGTTCTAGAGAGTCAACCAAGAGAACAGAGTTGAGTTGCATGAAGGATCTTTATAGGAGCATAATCTGATCGCACATAAATGAAATGTCAGATTTAAAACTCAGAACCTTCCCAGCCGGCGTGGCTCAGTGGTTGAGAATTGGCCTATGAACCAGGAGTTCACAGTTTGGTTCCCAGTCAGGGCACAGGCCCGGGTTGCAGGCTCGATCCCCAGTAGGGGGCGTGCAGCAAACAGCCAATCAATGATTCCCTCTCATCATTGATGTTTCTATCTCTCTCTCCCACTCCAAAATCAATAAAAATATATTTTATAAAAAATAATAAGTCAAACTCACCGGCGACCCATTTGCAGGGACAAAGAACCGTCTGTAGAGAGCAAATCCCATATCCAACGCAACTAGAAGGAAAGACAAGCTGATGAAGCTCCAAGGTCTCCAATGGTACACCGAGTGCTTTGGTTTCCGCCTAATAGTGGTAGCAGCTGACATTTATTAAGACTTATTCTGTGCCAGGTGCTTTACATGATTAATTAACTTTGTATCAGTCCTCACAATGACCCTATAAAGTCAGTACTATCATTATCCCATTTTGCAGATTTATTCATCCAATAAGTATTTGTTATCTTCTATGTGCCAGGCACTATCTAGGTGGTGGACATGCTGGAGTGAGCAGACTTCTAATAAAAGTTTTCAGGTTTTAAGGAAGGGGCTTCTAAATACAAGGGGAGGGAAGAGGAAGAGAAAAGGGAAGTCAAGACTAGATCACATAGCCCTGTCTGATGGAGCTGAGGGAGGCAAACAAACAAACAAGGAAAGCATACAGTGTGTCAAGTGGTGCTAAGTGCTGTGGAGAAACACAACAGGGGAGGGGGGGAGAATTGGGAAAGCTGGGAGTAGGGTGTGACTTTTTTTTTTTTTAATATATTTTATTGATTTTTCACAGAGAGGAAGGGAGAGGGATAGAGAGTTAGAAACATCGATGAGAGAAACATCGATCAGCTGCCTCTTGCACACCTCCTACTGGGGATGTGCCCGCAACCAAGGTACATGCCCTTGGCCGGAATCGAACCTGGGACCTTTCAGTCCGCAGGCCGATGCTCTATCCACTGAGCCAAACCGGTCAGGGCAGGGTGTGACTTTTAATAGGTCAGGGAGGATCTCGCTGAGCATGTATTTGATGGAGATAAGGGTGTGAGCCATGTTGACCTTGGAAATGAGAGCCCGGCAGAGGGAAGATCAAACCGAAGTCCCTAAGGTATGGAGGGACGTGCCTGGTGGGCTTGAGGAATACTAAAGCAGTTGATCTGGCTCGGTCAGTGTTTTTCAAAGTGTGGTTCTCCCCACTTCAGCCTCTCCCAAAAGCAGCAGGAGCGGCAGCATCTGGAAGCTCATTAGGAATTAAAATTCTCAGGCCCACCCCAGCCTTATTGAACCAGAGACGGAAGGTGAGGCTCCCAGTCTGTGTTTTAACAAGACCTCCAGGGGATTCTGGACTACCGTTAGGGATAAAGCGATAAGTGATGAGCAGGGGCCAGTCCATGTAGGGGCCGTGTAAGGACTTTGACTTTTATTCCAAGGGATAGGAAGCCTTTGAAAGCTTTTGAACACAAGAGTGACATGATCTATCGTATGTTTGTAAAAGCTCATTCTGGCAGTTATATAGGGAATAGACCCTATGGAGCGAGGACAGGAACAGGAAGACCAGCGAGAAATGATGGTGGCATTTTATGCATAAAGAAACCAAGGCACCGAGGTTAAGTACTTGCCCAAGTACTTAACACAGCTCAGAAGCAGGGCCAGGATTTGAACTTTAAGCGGTGTGACTCCACTCTCACCTACCACACTAATTACCCCTAATTACTGAAGATGGGCCAAGATAGGGATTGAGTGCACATCCTCCAATGGAACAATGAGAGCCAAAACTTAAGACATCCTTCCAATAAGTCAGATCTGTGCTACAAAAGGAGACTCCCCAGTTTCTTGGCCTAGGACTCCCACCCTACATGTGCAGCACTTGGAAACATCTCAGGCAGCTGCCACATTCGACACCAATCCCCCAATCCCCCCGTGCTCCACTTAGTGAGCCACTGTATCCTAAGGGATGGAAAGACCCAGTCCTTGCCTTCGGGGAAAGAGCTTCAGGACCCTGCTGTGTTGATGTTAAAGTCACCGGACAGGGATTGAGGTCCAGGAAGGTCTGGATAAAGGTGGCTGTGTGGTATTTTCAATCATTCGCATTTCCTGAGCCAATAGAGATGGGACTGGGAAAGTATAGGAAAAACCCTGCCAAAGAACAGGGCTGACTTCTTGGAAACAGTTCCTCTGGTTTAATCTTCCAGGGTAGGAGGAGGCCTCCTACCCTGAGCATGTCAGTGTCTCCATTCCATTTCCCTTTCATCTTGCCCCTCCACCCATCTCCCTCCGGCCCTTTCTGCTTTCTGGGGGAGTTTGCTTCTAAGTTGCTGCAGTCTCTAAACTGAGACATGTTTTCCCAATAAATCCTTGCTTCCTCCAGTCTTCCTCATTCCAAACCGAATCATTATCCTCACTAAAAATTTAGCACTCATTTTAAGAAGGTTGCCTTTATACCGACCTTTTTTTTAAAAAACAATGAAAATGTGAGATTTTTCTTGACGTTTTCCAGAGGAAAGCTCACTAGCTTTGTCAGGAAACACACCCAACAAATAATGCTTGGTGAAGGAAGGTGCTCAAGGCCAATTCTCCTCCACAATGAAGAATAATTTTTAGCCTTGGCCAGGTAGCTCAGTTTGTTAGACCATCATCCCGATATACCACGCTTGCAGGTTTGATCCTCAGTCAGGGCACATACAAGAATCAACCAATGAGCCCTAGCCAGTTTGGCTCAATGGATAGAGCATCAGCCTGCGAACTGAAGGGTCCTGGGTTTGATTCCGGTCAAGGGCACATGCCCAGGTTGCCGGCTCGATCCCCAGTAGGGGGCATGCAGGAGGCAGCCAATCAGTGATTCTCATCATTGATGTTTCTCTCTCTCTCTCCCTCTCCCTTCCTCTCTGAAATCAATAAAATATATATGTATAAAGAATCAACCAATGAATACATAAATAAGTTGAACAATAAATTGGTGTTTCTCTCTCTCAAATCAATTTTTTAAATAATTTTTATCATTAAAATATAAATATATACATTTTCCCAAGGAAATGTGTTTAAAATTAAAATGTACTTATAAGAGTCTGGTATGTGTTGTAACTTTTCTAATTTTCAATAGTAGGTAAACCAGGCCAAAGAATATTTAGAAATGATGGGCCCGACCTGTGTGGCCCAGTGGTTGAACACCAACCCATGAACCATGTGCCGGTCAGGGCACATGCCTGGGTTGTGGGCTCGATCCCCAGTAGGGGGCATGCAGGAGGCAGCCGATCAATGTTTCACTCTTACATCAATGTTTCTATCCCTCTCCCTTCCTCTCTCTCTAAAATCAATAAAAAAGAAATGTGTGGGGAAGGTTAACGTTGGCCTGTCCTACCTCTATTGTGGGACATAAAAGTACATCATTCAGTGGCTTTATCAAGTTACCTCAAGAATGATATATTGCCAAAGCCGGTTTGGCTCAGCGGATACAGCGTCGGCCTGCGGACTGAAAGGTCCCAGGTTCGATTCCAGTCAAGGGCATGTGCCTGGGTTGCAGGCACTTCCCCAGTGGGGGATGTGCAGGAGGCAGCTGATCGATGTTTCTCTCTCATCGATGTTTCTAACTCTCTGTCTCTCTCCCTTCCTCTCTGTAAAAAATCAATAAAATATATTAAAAAAAAAAAAAAGAATGATATATTCTTACTAAACTATCTTTGGAGAAACACTGTGCATGAGGAAAGGGTTTTTACTCCAACATTGAAGAGAATTCAAGAAGAGTATAAAAATTATTTCCCCATTAAAGGTTTGGGGCTTATTTTATAAAAGTCACTTATAATTATACAAAAGAAGCAGACTGAGGACGCAGGTAACTTGTGTAACAACGTTTTTCAGTCAAAGGACTGTCCCTTGGTTCTTGGTGTGATTCCACTTGGGTGGCACCTCGGCTCCCAAAGCAACTCTCCTCGCTCCCTCCCTGCACAGCTCTCCCGTCTGTGCTGACAACTGTCCCTCATCTCTTGGCTTTCTCCTGGAGGAAAAAATAATTACGTCGAGTATGGTATAGACTATAAATAAGTCACTTATTTTCTCTCAGGATGAAACCTATTTTTTTACAGTTAAACTGTTTCTATTTAGTCTCTTTCCTCAAAGGTGGTTGTCCCTGTTTCCACAGTGTGGATCACTGAGCTCAATACCAATTAGCAGAATCATTTTTTCTTACCACGTGGACAGCAAAAATCTTAGGCCTTATCAAGTGTCACCTCCGCCTTGGCCCTCAAGTGTGAACCCACAGTCTGACCCCAGCATCTGCCCTTCTCCCCACGCCTACGAGCAGACACAGCTTTATCTGGATCAGCCCTGGAAACACAATTCCCGCCTTTGCTATTGTTTTTGTGGATTTAAAAGAAAGGTGCTATGGAAAGTAACCTACAGGGTGAGCTGACCATAAATTCCTAACTGGGCAGGTCACTGTGGGTAGTCATGCCACAGGCCTATAACTTCTGTAGTGAAAGGTTTTAAGCCAACCCTGTCCATTATGCATCTCAGTGGTCGGCAAACTGCGGCTCGGCAAATCACGGCTCACGAGCCACGTGCGGCTCTTTGGCCCCTTCAGTGTGGCTCTTCCACAAAATACCGGCTCTTCCACAAAATACCGACTTCTGCGCATGGGCCATCAAGTTTCAATCGCACTGTACGTGCGCGCCCGCACCTGGTATTTTGTGGAAGAGTCACACTGAAGGAGCCAAAGAGCCGCACGTGGCTCACGAGCCGCGGTTTGCCGACCACGGACTAGGTTAACCTTCTGAAGGATGAACCGAGAAAACTGAAGGAGTGAAGTGTTCACAAAACAAACTTACTTATAACGATGATGATCAGTAGTCTGAAAATTCCCAAGGCAGGAATCATTTCTCGAAAATTCTTGCAAAGAGATAAATAATAATTAAGATAAGCTCTCTATTGGCAAATGAAACCTCAGCTGTACTCCCTCTTTATCTTCTTTCTCATTTAGAATAAATTATGTCAAATATTTGCAAAACAAAGAATATATTTGGGAAGTGCAACTTTGGTGTGCTTTGAAGAACAAAATTGAAACATGAAATTTAACTCCATAATATAAACTAGACACAATTTTATTATCAGGAAATTATCTCAGTATAAGTAATATAAAATGGACATTTAACATGAGATAGATAGATAGATCGATAGATACAGATGCTGTCAAACTAAGTAGGATGAAATATTTCCAAATTTTGGGGTTTATATTCATTTGATACTTCTTGATCCTCTTTCTAAGTAGGAGTTAGGGAAGTACTAAAATTTGAATGCTACCTTATTTTTTTGGATAATTAAAAAAAAAAAAATTTAAGCGCTAGTCAGAAACAATGCATTTCGGTCTAGCTTGCAGTAACCTCATGTGTTACTACAGAACAAAGTCAGAAAGACATTGCCACTTTAATTTATTGAGCTATATCTCCATTCCCTTTCAAGTTATTCACTCTCTTCCCAAGGAGGAAAGATGCTGGAATAGCTGTGTTTATTCTAAGTAAATTATTTTCAAACTGTTGTGACCATGACTTAAAGTAAGAAATAATTTATAATAACAACCCAGTACACACATAAATCAAACAGTACTTATTACTGAAATTAGTTTTCATTTTTTGCTTTTTGCTTAATTTTTCACAACCCTTGAGCTGAGTTCACAACAACTTTGGATTTAAATCCAAAGTCTGAAAAACATTTTTCTAAATGACTTCTATTTTTTGAACAGTTTTATAATTGTTTCATATTTTTCCTCTTACAGCAAGGGTGGGGAACGTGTGGCCCGCAGGCCATATTAGACCTGTGAAATCATTTGGTCTGGCCCTGCCAAGGCAGTAGGGGTGAGCTAATTAAATGTTTGACCAAATAGAGCAGGCTAATTTTTAAGTTGATAATTTTGTCTGGCCCACAAATGATGTTATAAATATCCAAATAGCTCTTGGCAGAAAAAAGGTTACCCACCCCTGTCCTACAGTATTTTTAAAGTACAGATATATAAATAAGTATAAATAAAATATAAATACTTTATATTTTAAAGTATACCTACATGGTTAAAGGGTTAAGAACTAGACAGGATTTTAGCCTGTTTTAAAAAGTGCTTGACATTCTCACATGCTATATCATGGAAATGTAAAATAGCATGCAAACTTTGGAGGACGATTTGGCATTGAAATCCACTTCTAGGGAATTATCCTACAAAAAAAAAAATCACAAAAATGCAAAAAGATAAATGTAAAAGAACATTCTTTATAGTACTATATGTAAATGTGAAAAGCTGCAATCACCCCACATTGTTTTCAATGAAAAATTAAGTAAGTCTGGATACAGCTATAGAGGGTGTTGTGGAACACTTGAAAAGATTGAGGTGGGTTTATTAATTAGTAGGATTTTGAATACATGTAAAAGAAGATCTGAAAGAATGTAGTATATTAAACTGTTAACATACTATATTGGGGATTTTGACTTTCTGTTTTTCATTTAAAGTTTTATTTAGTATTCATTACTTTTGATATCGGGGAAAATAAGATAAAATATGAAAGAAAAAAATGGTGGTCATAAGAAAGATGAGTGCTCAGTAAATATTGATAAATGAAGATTCCTATACCAAATACTATGTTTTTTGTTTGTTTTTTTAAAAGTCCATAGGTTCCATTCCCAAAGTTCTTACCACCAGAACATTCATAAAATAGCCTCCCATCAGAGCGTAGACTCCTCCGGAAGCACCCACAAGATATTTGAGTGGGTCAAAGATGGAGCTGGCAAGGGATCCTAAAGAAATAAAACACAAAGAATCATGACTATAAGAATCACGAAAGATAAATCTTTCTAATCTAAGGTAAAAGTTTGGGAAGTTTGGGCCATTTAACAAACAACGTTTGCACTTTGTCCCTTCCATACTATAAAAGTATAGCTTTGTGGGCTAACCACCTCAATTTTTCTGAAACATTGAATGTTCAATATGAAGACAGTAGAACAGTGATAAAGCACACACTCTGGGGCCAGAATTACCAGCTGGGTGACTTGAGCAAGTTTCTTAACCTCTACGTGCCTTAGTTTTCCTACTTAGAAAATGGGGATATCAATAAGATGTCAGAGCAAGTAAATGAGCTGAAATGTGCATCATGCTTAGAACACTGCCTGAAATGTATTATATACTTGTTATTATTTCAAAACATTTTACACGTTTAACCCACACTACCAAAATACCTGAGACATGCCAAACACCTTATTATCTAATGGCTAGCTTTCTCATGGGATCAAGATGTGGCCTCCAGATCCTCCTCAACATACCATTCCATCAGATTCACCAAGTAAGATGAAATCTATTTGCTAACCTAATCTTAGATCGCCTGAACAACAACAACAAAAAAGAGAACGCAAACTCTAAGATAATCTCTCTATACTACTTAGTTTTATTATTTGGTCTCTTGCTTTTGAGGCCCTCCTTCATTCCTTAGGATATAGTTTAAACCTACTTTGTACAAGAAATACAAAGTGCATGACCTTAGCAATCTTACAAATGGATGAGCAAACAATCATAAAATGCAGAATATAACAACTTTTTTTTTTTTTAATATATTTTATTGATTTTTTACAGAGAGGAAGGGAGAGAGATAGAGTTAGAAACATCGATCAGCTGCCTCCTGCACATCTCCCACTGGGGATATGCCCGCAACCCAGGTACATGCCCTTGACCGGAATCGAACCTGGGACCTTTCAGTCTGTAGGCCGACGCTCTATCCACTGAGCCAAACCAGTTTCGGCAACTTTTTTTTTTTTAATTTTCACCCAAGGATATGTTTATTGATTTGAAAGAGAGAGAGAAAAACATCAATTGGTTGCTTCCCATACATGTCTCAATCTGGGAGTGAACCCACAACCTAGGTATGTGCCCTGACCAGGAATTGAACCCGCAACCTTTTTGTGTACTGAGACAATGCTCCAACCAACCAAGTCACTGGGCAGGGGATGATTTTTTTTAATGAAATAAATTTGCTATGGAAGCACCTAGTAAGGAACGACTTTCTCAGCAGAGAGGTGTAGGCCATGCTACTCTGAGGAGATAGGGTTTTTTTTATTAATCACTGAAGAATCTTTAAAATTTGGACAGGAAAAGTGAAGGAGAAGGTATTCAGAATGTAGGGATCTGGAAAGGCAAAGACATAGAAACAAAGGTATACGGATGACTAAAGACCAATGATAAGTAGTTCAATGGGTTTAAAGCAAAGGTTCTCAACTTATAGGTAGGGCTACGGTGGTTGCATCATAATCATATAAGAAATTTATTTTTAAAATACATATACAAATGTCCACTTCTGCCCATGATGAAGTCCCAAGGTTAGGATTTACCCTTCCACTTGAAATAGCTAAAAGCACTGAGCAGAATACATGAAACAATGGTCTTCAAAGTACTGGATATCAGATAGCAAAGGACAGTGGACCCTGAGAGATACAAAATAAATGAGATGAGTTGTCTGATTGCTCAGCTTACCGCCTGAAGAGAAATGACAGGCTGCAGTGCATGGAGGGGAAAACTGAGTCAATCCCAGTAAACTTGAAGTTGATGAAGTAGAGTTTAGAGTCCAGAAAGACCTAGAGTTCAAAAGACAGAGCACCAGAGAGGAGAGACCTGCATGGAGAGAGAAATCCAGAGAGGAGTATGTGAAGAAATGATCCAACCCAAGAAAAGAATCATCAGAAAGGAATAGAGAAAAGAGTACCTCTTGCTCACCAGAGAGGCTAAGTAACTTTCCAAACTAGAAAACGTCATAGTTCGTGGGGCATTGAATCAAGAACATAGGAGGGTCCTGTACCAGAAGTGGGGAATAATTAGCACTAAACATGACTCAGAAACATAATTTAACCTAGCAAATTTTATCAGAAAGGATCAAACTGCTTCTAAGTAACTGAGTTCCAGAACAAATCTAAGGACTATTTATAGGGATACAATAATATCCACCATCCAAAAGTAAAATGTATAGCATCCAAACAAAGATTGGAAAGCAGGAAAATGTGGCACATAATAAGGAGAAAAATATAAAATCTACCCAAATTGACACAGGTATTAGCAGTTGAGGGCAATAAATAATTATTACAACTGTATTCTATATGTTAAGTAGGTACATATAAGATATAAACAGACTCAAATCAAACTTTTAAAGATGAAAACTATAATGTTTAAGATGAAAAAATAAACTTGTTGAGATTATTGGCAGATCAGACATTCCAGAAGAAAAGACTAGTGAACATGAAGACATGGCAATAAAACTATCCAAAATGAAACACTCAAGAGAAACATATTTTTTTTGTTAATCCTCACCTGAGGATATTTTTCCATTCATTTTTAGTGAGAGTGGAAGGGAAGGGGAGTGACAGAGAGGGAAATATTGATGTGAAAGAGACACATCGATTGGTTGTCTCCTGCACATACCCTAACCAGGGTCAGGGACCAAGCCTGCAACCAAGGTATGTGCCCAGAAATCGAACCTGGGACACTTCAGTCTGTGGGTCAAGGTTCTATCCACTGAGCCAAACTGGCTAGCACAATTTTTTTAACTATATATGTTTTTATTGATTTTACAGAGGAAGGGAGAGGGATAGAGAGGTAGAAACATCGATGAGAGAAACATCAATGAACTGCCTCCCACACACCCCCTACTGGGGATTGAGCCTGAAACCTGGGCATGTGCCCTGACTGGGAATCAAACCCATGACCTCTTGGTTCATGGGTCGGTGCTTAACCATCTAGCAACACTGGCTGGGTGAGAAAAATATTTTTAAAAATACATACAATATCAATGAGCTATGGGTCAATTTCAAGCAGCCTAATAAATGCGTAATTGAAGTCCCCAAAAGAGAAGAGAGAAGGCAGGTACATAAAAAATATTTGGCCGAAACCGGTTTGGCTCAGTGGATAGAGCGTCGGCCTGCGGACTGAAAGGTCCCAGGTTCGATTCCGGTCAAGGGCATGTACCTGGGTTGCGGGCATATCCCCAGTGGGAGATGTGCAGGAGGCAGCTGATCAATGTTTCTCTGTCATTGATGTTTCTAACTCTCTATCTCCCTCCCTTCCTCTCTGTAAAAAATCAATAAAATATATATAAAAAAAAAATATTTGAAGAAATTATGGCCACATTTTCCAGAGTTTTATGAAATATATAAATTATGAGATCCAAAAAGATTTTAAAAACCCCAAATACAAGAAACATGAAGAAAACCACACCAAGGCAGGACAAAATTACATGGCTCACCCTGCCTGGTTTGGCTCAGTGGATAGAGCACCGGCCTGCGGACTGAAAGGCCCCAGGTTCGATTCCAGTCAAGGGCATGTACCTTGGTTGCGGGCACATCCCCAGTGGGAAGTATGCAGGAGGCAGCTGATCAATGTTTCTCTTTCATTGACGTTTCTAACTCTCTATTCCTCTCCCTTTCTCTCTGTAAAAAATCAATAAAATATATATATTTTTTAAAAAGATGACTATCTTTTAAAAAAAAAAAAATTACATGGCTCAAAACCAGTGAAAATCTTAAAAACAGCCAGGGTAAAAAGACATGTTTCATACTGAGGAACAAAGATAAGGATGATAATTGATTTCTCATTGGAAACAATGCAAACGAGAAAACAGTAGGGTAACATCTTTAACCCTTTGCGGTCCAATTTTATTTTTGGAATTCAAACAGTCTGGTCCAAATTAATTGACGGGATTGAATGTTGAACCGGTTTGCGGTGTTGACCTCAGCCTCGACGTTGGACCTGCTACTAGCGCCTGGTCTGTCGAGTCAGCCTCGACGTTGGACCGAAAAGGGTTAAAGTACTGAAAGAAAAATACTGCCAAGCTAGAATTCTATACTTAGTAAAAATTTAGGGTGTCCCAAAAAAATGTATACACACTTTGAGTGATTATTAATTCCAATGGTTTAAATCTGAAAAGAACAAAAAAATCAATTGAGCTATCAAAAAATGTATGTGTGGCCAGCCAGTGCGGCTCAGTGGTTGAGCATGGGCCTATGAACCAGAAGGTCAGGGTTCAATTTTGGTTAGGGCACATGTCTGGGTTACGGGCTCAATCCCCAGTAGGGGGTGTGCAGGAGGCAGCATATCAATGATTCTGTCTCTCCTTTTCCCTTACTCTCTGAAATCAATAAAAATATATTTTAAAAATAAAAGTATGTGTATACATTTTGGAGATACCTTATATACTTCAAAATTAAGGCAAAATGAAAATCTTTTCAGTTATACAGAGACTGAAAGAACGGATGATGAGCAGACCCGTACTACATGAAATGCTAAAGGAAATCTTTAAGCAGAAGGAAAAAGATACAGGTGGAAACACGGGGTTACCCAAAGGAATGAAGAACACTAGAAATGATAGAAACATGGGAAAACATACAAGTTTTTTTCTTATTTAAATCTCTTTAGAAAATAATTGGCTGTTTAACTGTTAAACTAACTACTAGAAATAATAAGTGAATTTATCAAGGTTGGAGAATACGAGATCAAAATGTAAAAAATCAACTATAGTTCTCCATAATAGCAATGAAGAATCAGAAATAGAAATCTTTAAATAGTGCTTTTACAGTATGCCAAAAATATGTGTGTAAGTTGTTATATGTCAGTTATACATCACTGAACAGAAAAACAAAAACACAGATCCCAGGGCCATATCCCCGGAGATTCTGACTCAGTAGCTTTGGGTGGGGATCTGGATAGCTTCAGTTGATTCTCTCCAGGTGATTCTGATGATCAGTCAAATTGGGGGGGGGGGGGG